AGAAATTGTAATTACGTATGGCTTGCAGAAGGTTAGGCATTTCACTTTGATTTCTCCAGATGCCTGTTTGCCCAAAAAGATTCCCTATGGTTCGTGACTCATAGATTTTACTTAATAATATCTTTTTATGTTATTGTTTTAACCTGTCTTTCCCCTGCCCACCTTCTCATGACTGACTAACCTACCTAACAATGGCAGCCAGAAGCAGAGAGTGGTAAGGAAGGGCCCTAGAGAAGAGACACCCTTCCAGGGCACACTCCCAGGGACCCACCTCCTCCCAGTCCCACCCACCTGCCTACAGTGACCAGCCAGTCAGTCCATTCAAAGTAGGATGGACAGCTCTCATAATCCAATCATTTTGACTCCAAACATTCCTACATTAACACAGGAACTTTGGGGGGATGCCTCATATCCGAACCATAACATAGAATGATATCTAATTGTAGACTCAATGGGGTGTGACTTCCTACGGACATCAGGAAGAAGTCCTCCATGTCTGGGCCCAGGTACCCAGGTCGCGAAATGGAATCATAACTGTTGGTATCCATTATTTACATGAATTATGAGTCAAGCAAGGACAGGTTATCCTGCAGTAACAAATGGCCTCGCAGTCTCACTGTCTTAAAATGACAAAGGTTTATCTTTCCTATCCCATGTCCTTGGATTGGCTGAGACTCTGTTCCATGTGGTTTCCTACCTGGACCCAGGCTAATGAAATAGCTGGTATCTAGAACACTGTTCATGTCCATGCAGATTTAAAATAGGTGAACCATGCCTGTCTCTTGGGGCTTCTGCCTTGATATGACATATGTCACCTGCACTCACATTTCAGTCCTATGCCTGAGCTGAAATCCTGGGTCAGAGAAGTGTGTTGCATATAGATGTGTTCCCCTGCTAGACAGCCCTGGTGGTCCGTCAGACACCTGTAGAGTTCCTCCCTGGTGTCCCCTGAGACTCTCTTCCACTTGACTGGACCACCCACTGGACCACCTCGGTGAACCTGGAGGGAGATCATGTAACCCCCTGGGAATTTTGCAAATATGGACACTGAGGCCCAAAGAAGGGGAAATGACTGAACCAAGATCGCACAGCAACACAGCTAGCTAGGGGCACTTTCTGGAAAGTGAAAGGCTTACTGGGTCCCTGGAGGTAGAATCCCTGATCTGGCTCATGGATGCCCCTGAAGTAGCTTGAACATGACGTCATCATTTATTGAAATGATATGGGGTCTGTATGGTGCAGCCACCATGCTCACATGTGTCTTGTCCAGAATACTGCACAGAATGGTTCCTTGTTCATAGTGGCTCATCTCCCTAAAGCCCTCCCACTTCCATCACCCCCTTCCAACTTCCTGTGGTAGACCCAGAGGGTTCTGCGCCCATCACCCTTGTGACAGGCCCACTTTGAAGTGCTAAGAATGCTGCCTGCTCACACCAGGGACACCCAGAGCAGAATGCACACCCATAAACTAGATTCAGAAACTGACCACCATCCCCAGGCCCTATGTGAATTCTTACACCATGGTGTGCCCCCAAAGCTGCCTCTTTCACCCCTGTCTGTATCTACTTACTGGCTCAGAGTGGCTTCCCCAAACTGAATGGGCCAGGGAGCTGGCATCAGACCTCACCTCTGGTTTGAAGCCCCCAGCACTCAAGCTGCTGCTGTTGTGTACCAGATCAGCAGGAACTCTCAGCTCCTGGTGGCCCCAGGGACTGTCATGGAGGATTCCAAAGGAACATCTTAAATGCACCCTGGTGTTGAGATGATGTGCATCATCACTGCTAGTGAGACATCCACCATGCACCCTGTTCTGCTCTCCATGGGATCCCGTGGGAAGAAGAGAGAGAACTTGGGAGAAAGTAAATCTTTCTCTGTTTAAGTGCACCTAGAGATGAAAGGCAATCTGTTACATTTGTGGAAGTTTGCACCATCTGGTTAAACACGACTTCATGCTCTCCGCGGGCAACATTGACAAGACAGGGAGGGTGGCCTGTCACGCCCCCTCCACAGGGAAGACAGGGGTTCCACATCGACGTCCTTGCCAGGATACATGTTGGCCTCAATAAGCCTCTCTGTGGCATCAGCCACCTGTGTGAACAGCAGGGTCCTTTGGCACAGGGCTATGCTGTGCAGGCCAACCAGATGGCCCCACGGATGCCGATGTGTGGTAGAAAGACCCTTGTCCATGTTTCTGAGCGCTGCATCTGCCCCTAGCCACCTGTGCTGCTGTGCAATCTTGGTTCAGTCATTTTCCCTTCTTTGGGCCTCAGTGTCCATATTTGCAAAATTCCCAGGAGGTTACACGATCTCCCTCCAGGTTCACCGAGGTGGTCCAGCGGGGAGCCTGGGCTTTGGAGCTCGCTGTGCTGATGGGCCCCCTCACTAGCTGGGTGCAGTCCTGGACTTGCTCAGCCTGGGGCTTCTTCTCTGTAAACAGGACTCCTGGTAGTATTCACTACAGACAGGTAACTAAGAAGGACCATGTAAAGTACTTAACTAAATCAGATCTGACGCCAATCAGTGCCATAAAAAAAAAATGCTAGGAAAATAACAATTTCATAATTGCAAAACTATAAAAAGTAAAGTTCTGTAAATATCAGCTACATGTATAGAATATCACCATCCAGGGCTTGGGTTATTCTGTAATCAAACTTTCTTTCACGTCACCCCAAACCAGTCCTGAATTTTCAACTGATCCCTCCCCTAGTCTGAGGTGCCAAGTGCAGTGTGAATTCTACAGGGACAGCAGAGCCAAAAGAAGGACCTCATGTGAGGGAGTTTCAAGTCCTGCTGAGCCCTCCTCCAGACCCCCAGTATGGAGTCCTGGCTGCTGTGTGGATGGGAGAGCCAACCTCCACCGGCACCATGTGCTCATCTGTGCCCTGGGCTGTGCCCCACTGTGTGGCATCCTTGGCCTGAGCTAGCTGTCAGGAGCCTTGAGCAGTCAGCCCACATCTCTGTGGCCATCTCGGACTTCAGGAACCAACAGACACGATGTGTTCCCCAGTCACTAGCTGTCTTTATACTGGAAATCCTGATGTCAAACTGATGTCAGGTCATCTGAACATCGGGTGAATATCCAGAGCATCTCATGGGGGCACCAGGTGGGAAGGTGGGCAGTCAGGAGTAACTGAGGGCTGCTATGCCTCTGAGACAGGATAAGCGAGACCCCTGGGTAATACCCATGTAGATGGTGTCCCTACTGCCCACACTTCCCCTGCTGAGCACAAATCAGGCATCTCCAGCCTTCTCAGGCTCAGCAGTTCTAGAGCCCCTCAGGATGGACACCTCACAGGGCTACGCAGAGCATCTGGGCTCCCAGGAGGCAGATTTTGCACACAGAGCAGCCTTCCATGGTAAGCCAGTGGCTATGACCTGGTGATCTGCTCCTAGCCTGCAGGGAGGCTGTCTCTGCTGAACCTTTTAAAGAAGTCTTCTGGTTCCCAATATGGCACCTTCCTGAGGGTTTTCAGGGGCCATCTTAACTGTGGGAGATTGTCTGTGGTAGCTGACCTCAAAACCCACACCTAGGTAAGATGAGGCTCTGCTGTACAGAAGTCAAAACTCCATGACGCTGACCAGCAGCAGGTGCCTACAGTCAGCTCCATCTGAGTTTATGACTGGCTGGTCAGTGTGGTGCTGGGAGGCAGCCCCTACACACTGGGCCTTAGACGCCCCGGTTCTTATTAGTTGGACACAGCAAGGAGCTCCTGACCTCCATCCTTCCTGAGTGGCTGAGCCCTGCCTCTGTATGGACAGAAGGATGCAGAGCACTCTGCATCTGAGCCTTTTGGGAAACTGAGTGGGGCTCCGCCCAGTGGGACAGTCCTGTCTTCTCCCCCAGTGCAGCCTCGCCCTCTTACCTCAGCCCTCACTCCACTGAGCTGACCTGTGATTCTCGCTGAAAGCTCATCTTTCCACTGTTTGTCACTGCTCGGGTTATGTCCCCTTGCCGCAGTCTGGCTGGGCACAGAATCAAGGCCTTCTCCAGGGGCACACCACACCAACAGGAGATCCCTCCTCCGGAAATCCCTCCTACCGCACTTCCCCAACCAATGGGAGCTCTCCGGGAGTCCCGGGAGAGCTCCAAAGTAGCAGGCCGAGGAGGCGGACAGCAGGGGTCTAATCTCCAATTGAATGCACATCTTAACATAATCATTATCATCTCAATGGCTTGCTGGCATCACCTTTCAACCAAAAATGCCACGCTTCATTCCTACTGGGCTATGGCTCTTAGCCTCCCCTGGCCTCAGCCTGGAATACTAGTGGTAGCAGAAACAATAGTGGAGCTGGTGACAAAGTCATAGCTGACACTCACCATGTGGCGAGCATGCTGCTCCAAGCTCTGGTGCATTATCTCATCCAGTCCCCAAACACAATGGGGAGAGGAAAGATAGAGGCAGAGAGGTCAGGTGACTTGCTCTCTGTCACAAAGCTAGCACATCATGCTGCCAGGTGTCAAATTCAAGCTTTACTGGCTTCAGAGCTCATGTTTTCAACCACTGTACCATTTGACCTCAATGAGTGGTGATAATAATAAAAAAAAAGCATGCTGAGAATAAAGGGGTTCACACTGCTTCTCAGGGGATCAGGCCCTGGAACTCTCCCCAGTCACAGTGTGGATCATGCTGGGTCAATGTGTGGGCTCTGAGCTCCTGCAGGTCAGGGACTGTGTCTGATGCACCTTTGAGCCACCAGCACCTATCAGGGGACTTGGCACATAGTTAGTACTCAAGAAACAGCAGATGGGTTAATGGATGGATGGATGGATGGATGGATGGATTGCACCCCACCTGGCCACTGCCATCACTTACGTCTGATGCCAAAGTGACTGCTACCTCCCCAGGGATGGGGATGGCCTTGGACACTTCTGCTGCCAAGTCACCGAGCTCAGGTCTAGGCACAGACCTGACCCAGGAGCAGAAAAACAGAAGGTGAAGCTGCCCAACCCCTGAGGACTGACCCTTTGGCTTTCTGTCCCCCCCCGCCCCGCCCTGCAGGAGCCTCCTCGGGCATCATTGACCTCCTACCGTCCCCCAGTGCTGCCACCAACTGGACGGCAGGACTGCTGGTGGACAGCAGTGAGATGATCTTCAAGTTTGACGGCAGGCAGGGTGCCAAGATCCCAGATGGGATTGTGCCCAAGAACCTGACGGACCAGTTCACCATCACCATGTGGATGAAGCACGGCCCCAGCCCTGGTGTGAGAGCCGAGAAGGAGACCATCCTCTGCAACTCAGACAAAACCGGTGGGTCACCCTAGCCCAGCCCAGTGTCTGGGCACAGAAGTGGTCATGGGGGAAGGGAGAAGAGACGCAGTGTGGGAGGGGCCCTGGGAATGCATTCTGGATTTCTGGCTGTGGTTTACTGGGATTGGGGTGAAGTGGGAGTAGGAAAGGGAAGGGGAGAAGGTACAGGTACACCAGGAATGCAAAGCTGGAACCAGTGATCTCCCAGCTGGGTTCCTCAGAACTCCAGCATCCCCAGAGGTGATTTAGGATGGCTCTGAGTGAGGTGGGGGGAGGAATCCTCACCGTGACTTCAAACAAGAAGCTCCACCTTTAGTACCTAAAGACTCCCAAAGGACTTCTTTTGAATAAAAGGGTCCTGCAACTTAAAGTAGTCATTTGAAAATCACTGGCACTGGTAATATTGGTAGCTCACATTTCCTAGGCATTTAGAAAGCTTCACCTGGGCAAGACAGGACACAGGTTGGTTTTTAAAATCACTCTGCCTCTTAGTACTATGTGACCTCAGGCAAGTGGTTAAGCCTCTCTGTGCCTCGTTTTCCCAGTCTATATAATGGGCATTACAGTATCACCTCCCTTGTAGGGTTTGTATGAGTGTTAAGTAAATTAATACACATGGAGTGCTTAGAACAGTGCCTGGCACACAGGACTTGTGATTGGCGTTGGCTCTTACTAGTTAAACAGTTTCTGACTCCTTCACCAACAATTTTATAACAGCACTATTGCTTTTCCCATCTGAATGATAAGTACACATCCCTGAGAAGTTCAGCAGCTTGTCCCAGATAGTCACACAGCAAGCAAGCATCAGTAATGGAATGACAGCTTAGACCCAACCAAAGCCACGCCCCATGCTCTCGTCACTAAAGTCCCCATGCACACACACATGTGTTCACAGGTACACACATGCACAGATATTCTGAGATCTTATGCAAAATATATTACTCTGTCTTTACTGATAATTACCATTTCCCATTCAAATGCAACTTTTGTTCAAATGCCCCAAATAAATAAAAAACCATGTCAGATGTAACAGTAAGAAGACAACATAGAAAAATGGCCAGCAGCTCAGCCTCTCCTTTTGGACAGCTTAAGTTCCACTCCTTCAGGTATAACCTTTGAGGAGTTGCTAATCTCTCTGAGCCTCAGTGTTTTAGACAGCTTTTGAGTCACTGTGACCAAATACCTGACAAGGACAACTTAGAGAAGGAAAAGTTAGTGGTTCACGGTTTCAGAGATTCAGTCCATGGTTGGCTGATTCTCTAGCTCTGGGTCAGAGATGAGATAGAACATCATAGAAAAAAGGGTGCGGTGAAGAAAGTAGCTCAGGAGTGACCTACCTCCTCCAGCCACACCCTATCTGCCTACAATTACCACCCAGTTAATTTGTACCAGTGGATTAATCCACTGATTAGGTTATATCTCTCATAGTCTGATCACTTCACCTCTGAAAATTCTTGCATTGACTCACACATAAGTTTGGGGGGACATCTCATGTCTAACTGTAACACTCAGTTTCCCTGCATGTAAAATGGGAAAAACAAACATGAAGTAAAGAATGAAATCACTTTGCAGCCCCAGATATATAATTAATACCTCTTTAGTTTACCTGGGGTTGCTAATGATGGTTACTATTGTTATTATTACTACTTCTGGATTTTTTTCCACTTTATGCTGCTACAAGAACCTCCATACTCCCTGTTTCAGTTGATCTTTACAGCCAAGTTAATGCATTTTCTGGATGTAGAAAGTGAGAGGGAGTGATCTAGATTTCCTTCCCCTCGTCACAAAACAAGCCTACCTGGGAGGGGTCAGTGCCAACATCAGGTTTGCTCTGGGACGTGCATGCAGGAAGGATTCCACAGACCTGTGTGAGATAGTGCTGAGATCCGGGACCAGGTTTAGTGGCCTGGCCCTCGCAGGACCTGGTGGTGCACTGCCATCTTGGTCCCAGATCCCAAACCACAGTGAAGTGGCAGCCTAGGATTGTGTAGACAGACATGGAGCAGCTGAGCTATGGTCAGTGGCCACACATATGGTGGTTTCTGAGATGTACCAGGTACCCCTGGGAGGCAGAGGAGACAGATGTAGATATTCCTGCTCAGAGAGGGAGCAACTGGAATCTGGAAGGTTGAGTGATGGGTCCTGGATGCTGCTGCCAATATCCAAGAACAGCAGGCTCGGACTCAGGAACTCTTAGCCCATGCCCAAGGGCAGACAAGTGCACCACAGGCGCGCGAGCGCACGAGAGAGAGAGAGAGAGAGAGAGAGAAATTTTTTAATATTTATTTTTTAGTTTTCGGTGGACACAACATCTTTATTTTATTTTTTTTATGTGGTGCTGAGGATCGAACCCAGCAGCCCGCGCATGCCAGGCGAGCACGCTACCGCTTGAGCCACATCCTCAGCCCATCTCTTTAGAATAAATTATTGCACTTGTAAAAATATGTAGTTGCCAGGGTCCCACCCTAGGTCCATTCATCAGAATCTCAGGAGATGCTATTGGGCAGCCAAGCCTGGAAACTCTGCATCATTAGACAATGATGCCTCGGGTCATCAAAATAGTCTGCCAACAGGAGAGTCAGCACCCCAATCACCAAGAACTGGTGCTTTGCAACTTTAGCCTAGTAGAAAACCATACTTTACAAGCTCAAGATTGGCACAGAGACAATGGAAAGACTTTTTTTTTAACTTATGTCTTTTAAAAGAAATTCTATAGATATATCTTTATCCTGAATAAAAATTAAAATATTTGCACTAAATTAAAGCCTGATTAGAGCTTTTGCATATCAGAAAATTTCCCAGCTATAAATGTTTATAGTAGAAACGTGAAGAAGACAGAAAAGTATAAAGATATACAAACCACAAAACCCTAATACTCTGATAACACGAAGTACATTTCATTAAACACCTCTTTATTTCTCTCTATATGTACAATGTCCTTACCTTTTTAATCTATTTTTATAATACATGTGATACTATTATCTGTTTGCTTTATATAACTCTATTCAGATCACTTCTCTATGTGATGAAATATTCCTTTCAGAATGAATTCCATGGCAGTTTTAAGACTCTGTCATGTGGATTTATAATACTTCATTTCTCTGGCTCCCTTTTGTTGGGTATTTAGATTTTTCCTCTCAAATGCAAATAAAACAATCCTGTAGAGAGTGTTCTACTACATAACTTTTGGACATTTCTGATGATTTCCTGACCAGAAGTTGAATTACTAAATCAAAGAATATAAATATTAAGAACGCTATTAATGTAAATTGTTGAATTGCCCTTCATGAAAATTGCATTAATTTCTGTTTGGTACAATCAGTAAAACTTATTAATGCTGGCCCACTATGAAGGAATTTATAAATAGTTGCACAACAGAATTGACTAGTCAGCAAAGGCTAATTGCAGGAAAATGTTGGGTGTTGGGGCGGCAACAACTGTTATCACTACCAACAAACAGCATTCCCAGTGGCCAGCTCTCTCTTATCAGTTTTCCCTAGTGCGTTTGTCTAGTCACAGGTGGGCCTGGAGGGCAGGGGAGCTCTGTTTCTTCCAGATGTTCTCAAACCACGGATCCTTCCACCCTCTGAAGCTGCCAAGCTCAGCCACAGATCAGAGAGCCAGATTAGAGATGGGGCAAAAGGGTTTTATTGGCCAGGACAGAAGGTCACTCTTGACCTCCCAGAACTTGGTCCCACTGCCCCACCTGACCCTGGGGAGGCTGTGAATGTGTTTAACTGAGTGTCGAGGTGCAAAGGGAACAAGGTCAGGTGAACACATAGCAGTGTCTGTCACGTGGGGCACTGTGACTGCTGCAACCTGAGTTGGCCCTCACCTCTCTCTGCCCTGTGTGGGGGTCCCCTTCCACTGCTCTTCACGAGCTCAGCTCTGGCCCTGTCTCCCTAATCCCCTCCTACCCACCCTCCTGCTCCTGCTGCTGGGATCCCCTCCTCCTGGCCTGCAATCCTCTTGCTCCCTCTGAGGTCAGCAGAAAAGAATGAATGAAAAGTGGCCACATGCAGAGCTAGCCACTTAGAGCTTTCCAAGAAAGAGAGGGCCAACCTGACCCAGCAGCCTCAGGTGAGAATGGCAGAGGTGTCAACCTGGTAGAGGGCTGGGATGGTCCCCACTACCTACTGGGAAAGGGAGGGGTGTGCCCACATCCCCAGCATGACCAGAAAACCTCTCAGAAAGATTCAGATGTTCTGCTATGATAAGGAGGTGGGAACCTCCCTCCAGCCTCCCGTGAGCTGAGCTGCAGACCCTGTTCAGATGTGTGTGGACTCCAGGAGTCCAGAGCAGCAAGGCAGACGGAGGGAGCTGACCCCACAGAGAGAAATCTGTTCCTTCATTCTTCCTGATCCACCTCCTCGCCCCCAAACTGACTCCAAATAAAAAAACTGAAGGCAAAGTTTCTCTCTACCTGCACTTTCCTGACACTTATTAACAGAAACTACAGAAAAATCAGTTATATAGTGCAAAGGGAGACAGTAATATTTTTGAAGATGCCCCAAAACTAGGCCAGAGGGTTTGGCCAATCAGAGGCTCAGAGTGGTCACCCAGCCCCGGCCTGGGCCAGCGCTGCCTTGCTGGGTGACCGACCATCCTCTTCCCTGCCGTTCCCGGGTTGCATTCTGGAGAACAGCGATGTTTGTGTGCCAACAGTGTCCAACACTATTTTGCCACATTGCCGTGGTCGCGAGGCCGGGTAATGATCTCTGTGATAACAAAGTCATTGAGCGTCTGTTCCAGGCAGATGCTTTACACACATTTCCTCATTGTGTCAGTTAAGATGCTTTCAGTTCCAAGGAGTGGGAAGCCCACAGGAAACTGATATCAGACGTCTGAGAAAAGCAAACAAATGCTGGGTATGGGAGGTTCTTTTTTTTAATTATTTTTTTTAGTTGTAGATGGACACAATGCCTTTACTTATTTATTTTATGTGGCGCTGAGACTTGAACCCAGTGCCTCCCACATGCTAGGCAAGCACTCTACCACTGAGCTGCAGCCCCAGCTCGGGAGGTTCTTATAACTGAAGACACCCAGAACTGGGCTGGCTTCATAAAGTCACCCCAAAGGTAAAGTGTGATGGAGGTGTCTTTGAGTCTCTCAGATCTGTGTCCATGTATGTATCAATTCCATGTACATAAACAGGGCTGCTCACCCCCGAGGTGAGCATGGCCGCTCCCGGGGGAAAGGGTGAGCCTCTTCTACTCAGGTTCTACCAGAGTCCTTCCCAGAGCTGCCCAGGAAAACACTCATCCCTAGCCTGGACCCAGCCCCTCCCCCTTAGTGGTCCCCAGCAGAAGCTCTGTGGCCAGGAGAATGGCCTCCGTGGCTGAACTTGGGCACACCTCCTGAGCATGAGTGTCACAGAGGGGTTTCTTGCAGCTAACTGTTAGGACAGAGCCAGTGAGGATTCATCCCTGGGACTGGGATTGGTGTCCACAGGTAAGGACTGATTAGGATGCTGGGGAATCTGTCACAAGGCCACAGTCTTAGGCTACCTTAGGACCATCCAGCAAACCCATCATAATATAGTTAAGGAGACTGAGGTTCTGAGAGGCTCCACCCTAAGTCTCTATCTCTAGGGTCCCGCTCTTTCCACTACACATGGCTACCTGCTCATCCACTCAACCTTTATGATACATGAATCTTCTGTTAAGTTTCTCTGTGTACTACCACATAGGAGAATGTGAGTTCTCTGAGCACCTGTCCAAGAATAGCCCTCTTCTGATAGCTGGTAGTATCTCGTGGCCACAGGCATCATGGCCAGATTGACCTGAGAGTTCCTAAGCAGGAGAATAAGGTTTTACATGGAGGAGGAAAAGGTCCCATTGATTGATTGCTGAGTATGGGGGTGGGGGTTCTTGGCTTTGAAGAGTCACAGAATTTCATCTAAATGCTGGAAAATCAATTTGTCCCCTCCTCCTAGCCACTAAAAGCCGGGGAGCTCCTCTTAACATAGATTAAAGCAGGAGAACATGCTCTGTGGTCACTGTGTCAAGTCTGATGAAATAAAACAAACTCCAGGAGAAACCAACTAGGCTAAGGAGTCCAGAGCAGCTGACATGATTGGCAGGAGCTCCCTTAACCCTCCAGGAAGTGTTTGTCACCAAAAAAAAAAAAAAAAAAAAAAAAGAATTTGTCAATCTAAGGAATTTTTGCCCTGGTTCTGATGCAGTGTCTGAGTATAAGTCAGGATTTGAAGGCCAGATGGCTCCCAGCAGCAGTTTCAAGGTGGACTCTCCTGAGCCTTCCATTTGTCAGCACCACCATGGATGTTCCAGGGAACCCGTTGGGACCCAGGAAACTGGAGGGCCCCTGTCCTTGGTCTTGGAGCTGTGCTTGGTCTTGGGGTGGCGGAGGCTTCTCGGTGGGGCCTGGCACAGCGACCCTCTCACTCCCACACCCTCCTTCTGGCTTTCAGAGATGAACCGGCATCACTACGCGCTCTACGTGCACAACTGCCGCCTCGTCTTCCTCCTGCGGAAGGACTTCGACCAGGCCGACACCTTCCGCCCCGCCGAGTTCCACTGGAAGCTGGACCAGGTCAGCCCAGGGGGCAGCCCTGCGCTCGCGGGGCCGGTGGGGGTTCGCTCCCGTGCTGATGGCAGCAGGTGGCTACTTCCAGGTTGTGGTCACTTGCTGGGTTTTGGAAAAATCAGACCCGGGAGGCGCATGGCATCTCAGAGTCCTGATGGAAACTGTCCCTTGATGCCCATTACAGGGGGAGGCCCACTTCCCAGCAGGACACCGCGCACGGGTTGGGTGCGCTGTCCACCCTTTGCCAGAGTTGAGCGCTGGGAATTGGCCTCTTGTGATCCCCGGGTCCGGCTTATGATGGTGGTTAGCACGTTTCTGCATCGTAAATGCTCCTTGGGTGGCTCTGCCACCTCCTCTGCATGACGATGCCACTTGCTTTGGTGACAGGAGGTTGAGAACTGGGACCTGAGGGCTTTAAAGCGAACAGTGACTCAGAGCACCCTGAGCAGTGCGTGGCCTTTTCTGAAATGGAAAATCCGACTTGCTCCAAGGCCTCGGGACTTTTGATGGCCAAGGCCACGGGGCCACGCTTGTCAAAGGCAGATTAAGTGTCGGGCTTGAATCCAGGGCTTTGAAGTGTGTTTCCAAGGGCTGAGCAGCAAGCCCAGAGTTGGCCTTTGCTTAGATTCCAATGGGGGACGAGGAGAGTGTGCATATTTAAAAACAGTTTTAAATTATTGAGAGGGAGATTGCCCTTAGCCAGACATGGGGAGTGTAAAGTGGTGATGCTTAAGGAAGCAGATGGAATGACACTCATCTTATGACCCTTAGTTCCTGAGGCCTCAGCCTCTTGTTTTGCTTTTACTCTGCCCTACCCTTATCCTGAGATGGGTGCTTCTGGGACCCTCAGTCTTCTTTTCGTCCTCCAAAGCCTATTGGGTATACTACCTGCCTCACCTTGTCTAGGGTGGAATGATTCAGTATCCTGTCCCTCCTCTTTTCTTATTGCTACATTTCTACCCCATCCTCTTCCTAAATCCCTAGGCCCCCATTAGGACTGATCTCTGCGAGAACTAATTCACACTGAGATGTGAGTGGTTGCTATCCCCTTGCATCTCCACAGAAATATACATACATACTCTTTAAAATAAACCCCAGGGAATCCCCACTGGTGGGTTCCGGGCAGTGTGACAAGATCAAGGCTTCCACACTTAGGAGAAAGAAGTGTGGGTGAGTTTGGTGGCAAGTGCCTAACCCTCTCCTAGTAACTCCCATGCTGCTGGCTTCCAGGACTCCAGGAAGATGGCATCTGGATTAGTGTGTGTTCCTCTGTGTTTGGAATTCTGGGTCTTGCAGGAACCGTGAAATCGTGACGTAGTTTATATGATTTCTCAGCAACCTCTCAGCTATGTCCTAACATGCCAGATGGCTTTTATGGGATGTTTTAAAATATATAATACAAATTGAAGTGAATCAAAATAAATTCCATATTGCAAAGGGTTTTTTTTTTTTTTTTTTTTTTTTTTAATAAGAACACTGCCATACTAGTGGAGATAATTATAGATACCCTGTGGCGCTTTCTGAAATGGGCTTGAGAAGAACGGATAGAGAAATAAAATAAAGTTGAGGGGTTTGAAATTAAAATTAGGCAAGGAGGGAATTCTAGTTGTACAGATAAATATATAGTGAATCTAGCGATTCTGAAATCTGTTCCTAAAGTGGTAGGTTTAAGGGGGGGGGGGGCAAGGCCCATGGAACACCTCCAGATTGTCTTGATTTCACTGACACCATGTGTTGGTGCCTGGGAGGGGCCCCTCTCTGCTCTGCTGCAGGCCTTCCTGTGCCCTGGGAGCCAGGAGACCCAGGTTCGGTGACCCCGGGCCACCCCGCAAACCATGGTCAGCACCTTCCCTTTCCTTATGTTACGCTGCTCCTTTGATGAGTGGGGTAATTTAAAATTTAAAACATGTTGAGTTCTCAGATGTTTTAAATTTATGGATCAGAATTATCACTGAAATGCAAAATGTTTGTAGTCTTCGTGAAACCTCATAAAATTGTCGGATCTTGGCTTTGCTCAAGTTCTGTCTTCCTCCTTGACTTAGTTTGCACAGTCTGCTATAACAAAGTACCCCAGGCTGGATTTTTTTAAACAATAAAAATTGATTTTGAGCCAGTGATGAAGGCCAAGAAGTCCAATATCAAGGTGCCTACCAATTCAGCTTAGCTCACAGAGGACCTCCTTCACACTGTGTCCTCACATGGGAGAGAGAGAGAGTTCTTGCATCTGAGGTTAGCAACCAGCTATATCAAATTTCGGTCCCATGCACAAGGCCTTGGGTTTGATCCCCAGCACCACAAAAAAAAAAAAAAAGTTACAGTCCCTCCCAGATGGCCTCCCTTAACCTCAATTGCTCCCTAAAGGCCCTATATACAAAAATATTGGAAAAAGTGTTTCAAAATGTGAATTTGGGACAAATACAATTCAGTTCCCAGTATTTGCATAATAAAGAAATTAATAATCATAAATTTTATTTTTAATTTAGTTTATTTGTTCTTTTATTTATACATGACAGTAGTTTATTTTGACTTATTTATACAAACATGGAGTATGTCTTATTCCAGTTCGGATCCTAGTCTTGTGGATGTCCATTATGGGGAGATTCACTGTGGTGGATTCATGTACATGCATAGGAAAGTCACGTTAGATTCATTGCACTGTCTTTCCCAGACCAGAAATCCTGCACCCACCAGGAGAAAATGTAGGCCCAACACCCCATCATGTCAGCTTAGGAAACGGCTTCCTCAACAAGACTCCTAAAGTACAAGAAGTAATATTCAAAAATTTCAGAGATTACCTATTGATAGATGCCCCAGGTCACCTGGACAGTTGTCTTCCCTCTGAAGAAGGACCCAGTGAAGAGCTGCTTGCAAGTCCAGTGATAGCCACGAACCAGCCCACAGATTCCTCTTTCTCCTTACTGAGCTCCCTGTGTTAGGGGACAGAGCGACATAAGCAGTGGGAACCTGAGGTTAAGAGAATGACTCTGTAAGCTGGGCCCGCTGTGCCGACCCTCGCATGCTCTCTTTTCCAAGAAGCAATTTACCTGCAGCTCTGGCTGGCCTAAGTGGACAGGATCTGTCACATTCCTCTGCACACTACCTGTTATCTGCAGGAGAGATGCAGGCCCAAAACAATGTCCACAGAGGAACCCAAGCTCCCCTGAAGGGGAAAGACTTCCATGCCCTTTACTAGACCAGATCCTGAAACTCAGGGAAATAAGGATGATTCCTCCTAACCATAAAATCTGTAAGAATCTATGGTTAAGAATCCAGTTAGAACTGGTCAGCATGGGCCACCGTGACCTAGAGTTGTCATGGCAGTGGGAACTTGGAAGTCTGATGTCACCCAGCTGTCAGTCAAAAGTCAAGAGATAGACCTGAGCAAGACTCTCTGGAAACTTCTCCAGGATCCCCAGTAAAACTGGAGTGCAGGCCAGGCACAGGGTCCCTCTCCTCTCAGAGAGGACTCTCTCTCCTTTGAGAGTGTCCCCATTCCCTTTTCCTATCCCTTCTATAAACTCATGCTTGCTTCTTTGAGCAACATGTCTAAAATCTTTCTGATTTGATCACAAGAATCAGGGTTTGAGAAAGCCTCTGTCCCCGAGAAGCCATCCTGGGGCACCCTCTAGAGGTTCCCCTCTCCCCTCTGCTCATCACACTGTGCAGAACACCAGCCTGATATCTGCTGCATGGTCCTTACCCCATTCACCCGGCCTGTCCATTCATGCTGAGCACGTGGGGCAGGACTGCGTCTCACAGTCCTCAAAGCTGAGTGCAGGTCCCAGCCCTGCGCACAATGTTCATGCCCAGTAAGTGCTTGCGTATCAATGAATGGGTGTCGAGATCCAAAGAAGGGAGACAGGAAGTGGGGCAGGGAGTCAGGGGAAGGAGAGAAAAAACATCTAGAGATGTTTTAAAACACCTCCTGCTGATTAATTGATCTTTTGATTCATTTGATTGAGCATTTTAATATTCTAAAATTCTGTCATTTTTCACTCTCTGGCTCTCTCATGTTGTTTATCTTTGATCTTGATATCTTATTTCAAAGACTCAGCTGTGTTTGCTAGCAGCGGGTCTCAGCCTTCACTAGAAAGGACTCAAGCTGGCCTAATACTGTGTGTATTTAAACCCCTGGTCCGCCTTGGACATTCCGGAGGCTGCATCCTGTTCTAACGCAGCTCCCTGAGTTCTTTACTGAGCAGTCTATCCTGATTACAAACTATGAGCCAGGCTCTGTGGTGGGAACTCAGGATCAGCAGATAAAATAGGTGCATCTGCCTTCTACAAGTGTCCTTCTAGATCAAACTGGATCAAACCAATACATTAACAGGTAGTTGACAGTCTGGTGCAGTCGGTAGGGGCAGAGGGCAGGGAGCCAGATGTTGGAGCCCATGCAGGAGCACAGATATGGATCTGGGGATAAGAGAAAGCCTCCCGGTGGGGACAGCTGGCCGGTGGGGACAGCTGGCCGGTGGGGACAGCTGGCCGTAGTGGAGGGCTTCATGGTGCCCGGCTAGGTGGCCAAGATGGCGGACAGTGGGCAGGAGGGCTGTCTGCAGGTGGGCATAGGGGGGAACTTTGACGAAAGTCAGGACCCAAATGCAAAGGAGCAGATGGGAATTAAATCACCAGTGGCTTTTTATGATCATGTTATTGAGTTGTCTCTTTATCCCCCTAGAAATGGGTCAGAATCCAAGCATCTGTTATTCAATAGAAGACTGAGAATATTAGGGATGCGGAAATGTGGAGAAGGCTAGTCTGACAGTCATCACATTGATCAAGTTTCAGCAAGTATAACTCAGGCCATTCAATGGGGCCAGTGGCAGGGGCCAGGGAAGCAGAATCTCCCTGCCTCCTGTATCCACACCCAGGCCAAGAGACCCAGCTCAGAAGAAGAGGGTTGGAGTAGGTGGGTCCTCACAGGCATTGAAGCCAGGGTACGGTGTACAGGACGGTTTCCACAGAGCTCTTCCGCAGTGTGCCTGGTGAGTGCCACAGCTGTCACA